CAGGGTTGAGGGCTCTTCTGAGGTATGAGCAGCAATATAAGCACCTCTGATCCAAGTTTCAGTGGAATTTGTGATAGAATAACCTTTTAACCTTTAGAATAACCTTTATGCCCAGAAAATTGAGGTTAGCTTTACCCGAATATATTTAACCTTTCCCTAGATGAAAACGAAATGTTGTGGTTGGAGGATATTGAACCCACCACTGAATGCAGATGGTTACTCCAGAATTTTCACCAAAGTCTCTTACGCCAGGAAATGAGAAAGACCTTGATTCTGATGAAACCTCACAAACTTGAGCAGGGAGTAATTTGTGAGCTTTTGAAGGTAGGAATCTGAGGTGCTTGAACAAAACATTGTGAGATTTCATTGTTGCAGGTTGGTTGGCTTCTTTTTTAGTTCTTTAGATTTTTTTTTTTTTTTGTCATATGGGAGGTGCAACCCCCAGACCACTTCAAAGGAAATGCTACACCAAGAACTGGGGAGACCATGGGTGTGACATAGGTAAGGTTTTTGCTACATCTTTGTGTATTGATGTGGAGTTGTTGCATGCTGACAGTAGAGTCCCAGGAACGCTGGAAGGAACAGAAGGAATTCGCAACTCTGCCAGGGAAGGGAAACAAAGTTTGAATGACCATAGGGTAAAATCTTTCCCTCACAGACTTGATTTAGCTGTTGGTGCAGATAATTGTTTTTTCAGCACCTTCTTTGATCAGCTTAGCTTCAGTGAAACAGTTTCCTTCACTTCATGAAAAACTGTTCCTGATTCTCCAGAGACTTTTCAAGCTGTTCTCAGGGAGCTGCTGCTTGACTAGACCATGCAAAGCTGTTTCTTGTTTTCAAGCAAAATCTGTTTCAAATGCCTTCTGCCATCTGATTGTCCCCTCTCTCCCAGTGCTCCCCAGCCAGCAGATTTATTGCACTATAATTGTGCTAAAAGTAATAAAAAACCCCTATGGTTGTGGTTAAAGATATCCGATTAATTGGAACTATGAGATGCTATCTCTTATAGGTACTTAAATTGCTACAGTAATCTGTTCTATGTTCTGCTCTATTCAGTGGGAGGTGTCTCAGAATGGAGCTGTGTGCCTTGCTGCTGCAGAGAGGAGCTGCCCCAGCCAGATAAAAAGAGCTCACAGTAATATCAGGTACCAGATTAGCAGAGAAATCTCTGCGAAAGACCCAGCCACAGAGAACAAGCCACTTCTCTGCTTTCTGAATTTTCCAAATGGTAGGTCAAATTTTTATATTGTCGTTTAACCAGAAATAATAGAAGTATTTGATAAGAAAGTTTATTTCAGTTCACTTATGTGCTTCTTTATCTCGAGAAATAAAATTAGATTAAAATAGTGGGTATGCTTCCATGATAGACAACTAGTGTTGGGACTAACAAAAATTTACCTTGTTGTGAAGTGTATTTAGAAATGGATTTTGCCATCATTTTCCTGGCCTATATTACTAATTAGTCAAAGACACAGAAAATCTTTATTCCCCAAATGATTTTTCAGAGTTTAGCATATTTATGTATTTTGTGCTTAAAAATATTTTTTAAGAATAATGTGTATATCAGTTCTAGAAATTCTATGCTTTAATGATGAAATTCCTACATTTTACACCTACACCTGTAACTAGTGTAATTGTTAACTCTTGAGAATGCTAGTTTTGGAATAAGTTCAGTTTTAATGTTGCAATTTTAATAGGATATTTTCAGTCAGAATGGATTTTCTGGTTTGATAGAAGAATGAAAATCACTTCCAAAAGGTCTATGGATGTATATATCTGTAAAAAAAAATTCCACAGAACTGTTCTTTCATGGTATTTTTACATTGTAAAGTTTGTTACTTTTTTTTGGGTAGAAATTGAGATACTATTTCCAGGTTTTGTTTGTATGCTAGTATACTAATTTTGTCATTTATATAAACAGTATTATAAACATTTTGTTGGAAAATAGAATTTTGGAAAGAAAAGCAGAAATATGTTACTAACACAGCTGCCTTCAGAAAACTACTGAGTTAAGCCCCCCAGACCACTGCTTCTGCAATACACACAGTGGGTTCCCCCTTCTCTCCCCTTCCTTTGGTATGGTTCATTAGGAACTAGGCTTTGACCCACTCCGACAGTTATCCCAAATTTTGGGTCTAGTGCTTTTCCAGCACCACACTGAAGTTTTTGTTTGCAGAGCTTAGGTTTACACTCCCACCACACAGTCATCTGAAGCTGTAGGAAGGAGCTGTAAGGCACTGCAGAACCAGTCCTTCTCTTGCTGCTTTCTGTCTAGACCTGCAAACTCTGTTTCAGTTCATATTGAGGTAATTTGGGGTTTACTGCTTGCTTTGGAAAATGCAAACATAATGCAAATCACGCTGCTTTTTCTGTTGGATGAGCTCTTTGGATTTTCAGGAAACATTCCTCTTTTATTAGAGCCCTCTATATTTTACATATTCAAACACACAACCCCCATAAGCTACTTAAACTGCTGCTGGTACACAGCAACTTAAAAATGGAGGGAAATTCAATAAAGCAATCATCATATTTGGTGGGGAGCATCTCAGCTCAAATATTTTGCATTCTTTTGGTGCAGGCTGGTAGCCCAGTATGTGTAAGGTCTCTCAAAGACATATTTTTTTCAGTAAACAGAAGGCTAACTGCAACAGCTGGCAAGTATGGAGATAGGAAATGATGAATTTCTTACTCCTGAAACATTCTGGCGCTTGCTAGAAAAGTTGGTGAGAGCAAGTAACTGGCTGTCTCCCTTCCTAGACAAAGCTGTATCTTAAAAATGGTGAAAGCACATCTTCTTGCAGCTTTCTGGTAATCACCAGCCTTCCATTTCTAGGGCTGCAATAGCACTGGCAATAAGGGATTTGCCAGTGTCTCCAACAGTGGTATTACTTGTGGCTAAATTCCTAATAAACACTTACAAATAAAATATCAAATGAGAAAAAACCCCTCATTTCAGAAAGACTCCAAACTTAGTCTATGAAATATTTTTTTTAAAAATCAACCAGTTTAGTTTTTGTCATCTTGCTGAGGTATCACTCACTTAAGACAGCTCTAAAAAATAGAAGGGCAGTTAATATAACTGCTGGTATACCTTGTTGGGGGCAAATAAGTTGCTGAAACAAAACCAAACACTTGGTTGGAAAAGGCTTCCAGTAGAAAAGGAATATTCTGGATATTTTTGCTCCCTGCTAGTGTTAGAAACGACTTCTAGGAACAAGCCTCATGCTCTGAATGATGAACAAAGATGAATGCTTTGCTATGCTGATGCTGTCGATTTCATTGAGCCATTTTGTGATGTGCCTTTTTCTCCCAAGGGTCTGTCCAGTCCCAGGTCCCTCCTGAGCCCTGTTCTGGGCCACCTTGTTCATTCCTTCCAGGGCAAAACTCTTGATGTCAGTGTTGAAAAGTACCCTTGAAAAATCTGTTCACCGGGCCGAAGGTTTCCTTAAAATTAAAGAAGTCAGTAGATTTGCACTTGTAGTGGTGCTTTTCTCCAGCAAAAATGAAAGCAAGTAGATCCTCACACACAGTAATTCTTCTGACTGGTCACTCACTTCCTGTAAAAGGCATGGCATCAGCTTTGCTGTGACATTAATGCTGAGATGCTGCACTTTTTGGTCTAAACCTCATCTTTGTGAATATCCCTGTGAATATCCCTGCACAATACCTGCAATGAAATTCTCACACTTTTCTCTTTGAACACTAAGTTTTGTTATTGTTTTTTCAGAGGTTAAGAATAACCCTCTGGATATTATTAAACCTTCTAAAAGAAGAAACTTTCCATATCAAACCTGACGATATTTCTGAAAGCTCAAAACTGAGTTTGCTCTGAATTTTAGACTTGGCAAAAACATAGGACTTGATAAGTCTTGTCCATGTTTATTTAGTCTGGAGGTTTTTGGCACTGAAATAAAAATTCCTTGCAGTAAATGTGACGACAGTACTTAACATTTCTTCCCTGTTTTTTACTACTCCCCTTATGCTCACTATCTGCGAGATAAATTATATTTTCTTTCTGACTTGATTTCTCTTGAAAATAACTTGTCTACTGTCTGTAGGACCCAGTGGCTGCTGCTCACTCATACATGACAGTAGAACCCACTGCTCTGTGATCTGCAGTGAAGAACTGCATTCAAAGCTTTTTCATGGTAAGTAGAATGCTTATAATTACCTAGTATAGCTGGGTTGCATGCCTTCTGTCTCCTGAGATATTCCTGGATTAGGTCAGGAATTAGGATCAGCTTAATGCCCATGATCAAATGGTCAGGTTTTATAAATAAAGGGGTTTTCTGGAGAGTTCTTGAGCCACACCATGAACTCCAGCTGGTGTGTATCAGTTAGACAAATGCAAACATCAGTGAGATACAGGATCTGCCCTGCTGCTGTTAGCTAAGTACAATATTATGCTCCTTTACCTTCCTTTCCAGTCCATTTCCTCAGTTCCCCTTCAGTTTAGCATTGTTCATGACACTCACTTGGTTTTGATCCTACTGCTCAACACTTACCTAGAGAAGCTGTCACTGAAGATAAGTCCCCTTTCATAAAAAGACAAAAAAGTATGGTGCACCTAAGAAATTGGTTGGATGTAACCTTAATTCAAAACCAGGGTTTACATTTTCAAACCCAGGATCTGTCCTTTTCTAAGCTGGGGTACAGTTTCTCTGCACTTGACTGTGAAGAAAATGCAATGTACATTTATCTTCCTTTTAAAAAAAGCAAGTAAGTTAAAAGAGGCTTCTATCTGAGGAGCACCATGACAAAGCAATTCACTGACTCCCACTAAACTAAGTCATATCTGTAGTTTCAATTGTGATAGAAGAAATAACATCACCTCAAAGCTGCCAAACTGCTGCACACACTGTACAGAGCAGCTCACATGATGCAGTTCATCAGTGCATGATATAATTTTCTGTTCAATTTTCTGATGTACATCGATACAGCATTACTGATACAGCCAGAGTATATTCTAAGATATCAGTGTTTTTTCTTCCTAGTTTAGAAATATGATGGGGCTTATAGATTTGATCCTCCTATCTACCTTCCTCTTGGTTTCCATGACATCTGAAACATGTAAGTCACATTTTAAAAATACTTTCTGATAAAGTTTGTTCTGTACAAATGCGTAGGCTGTTTCCAAATTGGTGGTTTTATTTTTAAGCCTAGTGAGTTCACCTCAAGCCAGAAATCACAACTTAAAATCTAGCTTTTAAAGTATATTAAAATGCACCAAACACTGTCCATTTCTATGACAGCAACTTCTGCCACCTGACACCTCTGCAAGCAGAAAGAAAAGGGTCTTGAAAGAATTTGAGAGTAGCTGGTGCTCAAGTTCCCAGCTGGGCACAAACTGCAAGAACATGCTTTAATTGCACTGAGCAGCATTTATCCATATGCACCCTGCTGAATCAGGGGTATAAATGGGTGCTATTCTCCACAGAAATGCTCTTTAATGTCCTAAATTTGGGGCTGTTAATTGAAAAATGCAGTGTAATAATAATATTTCCCTGCACAGGGGGAATGTCCAGAGCAGTAAACTATTTATGATGGGCCAGCTCTACTGACTCAGCTATATAATGCTGGCCAGGGACACAATGTTGTACAGTACTCATGTACTTCTATTCTTGAGCTGAGATGCTCATTTATCTGAGAAGTTCTATAAGATATGATCTCTAAATATTTCTCCATATAGTCAATTTTACAATAGGAATGCTAAGATTCAAGCAAAGTATATTTATTAAGGTGTCAGATTCTGCTGAAGAATTTGCCAAAATGATTTTCATGAATGTCATTGAGTTTAGATGAGTCCTTTCTTTTTCAATGTCTTCCCTCTCCACACTATTTTTCCTCAAAGAAATCTGTATTTCCAATGTGTTCCACCTTTGGCAGGGCAATGTTGCATTTTCTGACCCCCCTGATATATCCCAGTGACTTTGCAAGGCTTGTGGGTGGGAAGACTGTTAAAATGATGGGGTTGGGGTTACTCATACTCATAGCTGGCTAATTTAGGAGCCCCAAATTAGTAAGTGAGATGACAATATCCATGGAGATGGACCACTTCTTTAGAAAGAACGAGAGCAGAAGTGTCCATCATGTGGAGACTCTCACCTCCTGATTTGTGCACCTACATGTCTAAAGCCACAACTGCAAAGTGTCATTTTTGGTAGACACTGTCTATTTTGGTTAGCTGTTCGGTTATCTACTCTCATTTTCATGCTCCTTTATCCACTGCAGCCCCTCTGCCAATCTCAATCTTTGTTCTGTCACCATCCTTGCTCATACCCCCATCTTTTGCTTCTTAGAATGCAATTTAACTTTCAGATTGTTTGTTTTCAGTGGCCAGTACACTATTCAGGTACCTGAGCACTTAAGTATTTATCACAATTGCTTGAATCTAGTTTCTCTGGACCAATTTGAGTGTTCAAAAGTAGAAGTATACTCAGCTAAAAAAACCCCAAAATATTAGTGTCTTGCTCCCAGATTTTCTTATGTGTGATCATATGTGGTTTATTTTTTTAAGCTTCTTGTTTGTCTCGGTTTTTTCTGTATCTTTTCACCTTCCCACTTTCTCATCAGATTCTTCCTTTCAGCCTATCACATTGCTTTCATTTTTTCCCACCCTATTTTCATGAACTTCAGAGAGGGGTTGTTTTTTTATATATTTTATATATTTTATTTTATTTTATTTTATTTTATTTTATTTTATTTTATTTTATTTTATTTTTCCTAAGGATCCAATCTATAGACTTCCTTCTATGATTTTTTTCTTCCAGAAAAAAAAAAAAAAAATCAACTCTATTCCTCTGTATTAAAAAGGCAGGACAAAAAAGCACTCATCCATTGCATAAATAAATATTCATTATACTGAAGTAAGGAAAGATAACTACATTAAAGCCATATTTTTCTTTGTTTTAATTCAGTTTTTGAATAGAAATGGTATTTTAGGCAAAGATTTACATAATAAGCTCATTGTAAGAAATCACTATTTTTTCAATTAAATCCTCTTGTTTTTTACTGTGTCTCCACTTAGAACCTAGGGATCTGTTTGTTTATTTGTGCCTCCCACATTAGTTACTGTTTTTGAAAACAAATGGCTCCATAACTCAAGGTAAACAAAATTTTTGTTGAAAAACCATCTAGTGAAAATAAGCTTCCTGTGTATCATCTCCGAAAGCTCAAGGAGGGTAGAGGGACATGACTGGCCCACTGATCCAAGAATGCCAACCAAGTTCTCTGTCTCAGCGGACAAAGGTTTAATTTATCTGAGATTTTAATCTTTTGCTCAATTGCAGTTGATCCTATGGAAGGTGAGGCCTTAGTTATAAAAGGTCCCAAATGGATTTCATCAGTGAACATCACCTGGTATCGCACGGATACTCACAAAAAAATTCCTGCGGAAGAGGAGGGATCACGAGTGTTTTCCATAGAACGATTTCTTTGGTTTCTGCCAACTTCTAGAGAGGATTCTGGAAACTACACTTGTGTAACACATTTGTAAGTGCCACATGGAAAGTGGAAGGTGTAAGACTGGCAAGAATATATGTTTTGATAATATATTCTAATTAAGCTTTTGGACATGATGACTTTTTTTATAAGTTTTCACCCTGCAACTGCTATTTTTATGGCAGATCATTAAAACCAAGCTGTGACTGAAATACAATAATCATCCACATGTTTATAGAATGACACACATTTGTTATAAACATTGATCTATTCCATGTAAAAATGAAGTCACTGACATACCTTATTCCATTTTTGAAGTTCAAGTAATCGCACAAAGTCATACAACGTGAGTGTGCAAGTGCATTCATACAAGCCAGGAGAATGTTTCCCAAGTCGGATTCGTTACCCAAATGACACTCGGAGAGGAAAAATTGTTTGTCCTACCATTGATAACTATAAGAATGCTACTATTGTCCAGTGGTATAAGGTAAACAAAACCCTGATAGTGCCAATGTAGGTCAAAATACTGAGAAGCTCTTTGCAACCAAAAACATTTTTCTTTTCCAGGACTGCAAACCTCTTCAGGGACAGAGATACTTCAAGAAAGAGAAATATATTTATATTGAGAATCCAAGAAGGGAGGATGATGGTTATTATACTTGTCAATTTATTTATACCCATAAAGGAAATGTGTTTAATGTATCAGCAACAAGAATTTTCATAAGTGGGGGTAAGACAATAATTCTGTAGCTTGCTAAGATTAAAAGACTAATGTCATTTTAGAGCAAAGGAAACTCCTTTTGTACATTAAAAAGAGAAAGCATTTTGGTTTGATTTGTTTTATCATCTTATTTAAGATTTACATCAGCTTTATTAGATGAATTTTGTGGATGGTCACCCACATAGAGCAAGATGGGGTAAAGTCAGACCTGGTGTCATTCAGATTTTTGTTTAAAAGATTCTGATGACTCTGGTTACATGCTGTGGTTGATAGAGTTCTCTGGTAGCACATTTCTGAAATGAAGGATCTCCTCAGTGGAATGCCACTATGCTCTGCTTTCTATTTATTGAGGGCAGCAGAATCTGTGGCTAGTGAGGACTGTCTGGTGGTCACTAGATCAGTCATGTGTTGATGGCCTACAGCTTAATGCCTCGTGGTCTGTCTCAACCATCTAATATTTATTTGGTAGTAGAACTGAAAAAACTTTTAAGTTTGTCTTTAATGAGACAAAATGAACAAGATATATATAGAAATAGAAAATGGATGGATCTCAGTGATTACTATGTCTCTGTGATTTTGAACATAGCCAATATGACTGAGATGTGTGGACTTTGGGTTGCCTCTAGCATGCAGTCTCCTCAGGAAGGCTTTGTATTTGGATGGTGTTCAGGAAATGGTGCACAGAAATTTATAGTTTCAGATTGCATCAACTTGCAAAACTTCAAAATGCTTTTTCAGTTCTGTAATCAGATCCGTAGAAAAACAGTCAGAAAAACCTTTTCTTGGGGGGTGGTGGAGGGCTTGAGTTTTGCTCATGTACTTATTTTGTTGCTGTTTAGTTGTTTTTTTTTTAAAAAAAGGTAATGTTCATTTGTAGACTGAGCATCAGGCCTTTTTGCTCTGGGGAGGCACACAGCTTGTGGGCAGAATGCAGAGCTGGAGCGTGGCAGCCTTGGACGCAGCTTTTGCTGCTGTGCCCAGATCTCAGTAGCAGAGTTCATTCTGACTATTCTGAGCTGGACAGCAGACAGCTTGAGCAGAGACCTAGTTCAGTAGCTGGGAAATGTTGTGCTTTTCCTCCTTTTCTACCTGCTGCTCTACATGATCACAATCAGTCTTTCCATGACACTTCTCTGCCTAACAATTTTTGTTTGAATGTACTTCCATCAAAACTTCTCTAACTGTTCTGGAATACTGCTCTTCCTGGGTTACAACAAAAATTTCTGGGTTTTATTTGGCCCAAAGACATTCAAATTTATAAAGGCCTTTGTTACATCCAGACAGATCTTGAAGTTCATCTAACTTTCTTTTGAAATCATTGCAGAAAGAAGACATCACAACATAACATGTTAAATCTGGGCTGAGTCTGGCATGTCTGCTCCAGGTTTTTCTAAACTCAAAGTACTTAATGACAACTTTGAGTTTTTATCAGACCTTAAAATATGTATCCTGATGAGTGGAACTGTTCTGTTTTGTTAATATTAAAGAGTTATGATATACATTCCTGTTACCTTGCAGATCCATGTTGATCCAGAGGAGTTTCTGCCTCTGAATGCTGGCAGCTAAGAACTTAGCATAGTCAGACAGCTGGGAAGTTACTGGCTCTCTCCTGACTTCTATTTTATCATATCCAGTCAGTTTGGGAAGCAGGGACTGAAATGTGTTCCCACAGAATTTTTTGGGAAATACGTGTTTCACAGAGGTGCCTTGAGTTGGAAAAGCTTAATGAAGAAAGGGTTAGAAAGCAATATGTTTGGAGTTCAGATACTGCATAAAAATATGTATTAGCTATTTCATATAATGGATATGAGTAATTTCTCAAATGTCTCTTAATAAAACCCCAAAACAGCTGAGAAATCATACAAGCCTATAACAGCATTTGCTTTTTTCCCCCACTCAGCAGCTAATACAGTACTTCAAAACCTAATTTTTTTCTTATTTTCTATGTACAAAGGTACATAGATGGGGAATAAATACTGAAGATATTAACATGTACATACTCCCCAGAGATATTTGGTTGTAGGAATAAAACCAGATGATCCCAACAGGTATGTGAAACACTGTTAGATTGCAATTCTGTTTTGTGATCATAAAATATTAATTGTACAGATTACAAATCTTATCTTAAAAAATGCATTTTCACAACTTGTTAATGCATACTTTCTTTTCCTCTTTAATTTCTAAAGTAAAGTACTCACCTCTACCACCTCAAATCATATTTCCAAAGAATGAAGATGTAATAGAAGCAGAGCTTGGTGAGTACAAATTTTAATTTGTTTTTAAATTAACATTTGTAATGGTCTAGAAGACGTGTATCTTCAAGAAGATGCAATGATGGAACTTCTCATCACAGTTTTGTACCATAATATTTACCATATTTAATTCCCTCCAGGCACAGAGGTGTGAAGTTAGATATAACTGATGTGTTATTTAGGCATTGAGTGAAGTTTAGGAAGATTTAACTAACTTGTTCTACTCTCACTGGGATACACTTGGATTATTCACAGAGTGAATCATTACATCTCAGCTGAAAGGTGACAGCTTCCATCCACTTCAAAGAGGGCTGTGGTTAAATCCTTCAAAATTGCTTGATGGTAGCCCTAAGAGGGAAGGATGGACTATCCTTGTGGCTTGAGCTGCTCCTTGCTACCTTCAGTGCCCACGTGGAGACAGTGCCTGTGTCTCTGCTGAGGAATGAAGGGAGCAAGGAGCTGGTTGCTGGCTCTGAGGCTGAGGAGCACTGCCTGTCTCATACCCAAGTTGGCTAGCAGTGATCAGGTCAGCCTGCTTGGAAGATACTGGGAGGGCAGAAGGACAGGACCCAGCAGAGGATTTAGGCAGAGCAGTTGGACAGCCCATGATGTAGGGCTTGCTCCTGGCTCCCTGCTGATCAGGGCTATTGATGTTCTCAGGGATTCACATTCATCCTGGTTAGCTTGCACCATCAGGACAGGGTGCTCCTGGTAGGAGTGAGAGTTGTCTGGGGTTTGTCTGCAGTCAGTGAGAAAGGTGGAACTCTCCAGCAAGAGACTAACCCCATCAGAAATCTAAATAGGCAATCTAGGATGCCTGTCTGCCAGGGCAAGTGTGGTGAAGCTGGGCCAGTGGGAGAAGGAATTGTACCTACCACTCCTCTGCTTCTATTCTACAGCAAGACTGCTCAGGCAGCAGATACTGCAGGGGTCCACAGCCCCCTCTGTGCCATGTGCTGGGGCTCAGAGACTTGTCAGTTGACTCACATTCCCATAATTTAATTCCTCTTTCTCCCAGCTGTTTTGTTGTTTAGAAATTAGATGGTCTCTGCTCGAGGACAAGCTCTCTCTAGTAAGATGGTCAGTGCCCAGTGCTCTGTGGGCTCTGCCTGTCACTCTGATAGTGCTTACACAGAGAAAATTCACTTTACATTTGAAACCCAATTGCTGTACTGGTTCTATTGTCTCCTGTTTGCAAAAAATGAAGGCATTTCCCCATGCTCCCTATTACCTATTCATGATCTAACCATAAGATTTAATATTCTTATCTAAGACCTGCTTAGATGCAGACTTACATGGAAACAATTTAACATGTTTAATTTATACTTTCTTTTGGTGCAATGGTGACCCTTACTTTGGAATAAATATTTCCTGATGGGGAATATTTAATAAGTAATTTCCTGTTTTAGTTTTGCTTGGACTGGCTTACTTTACTTTTGTCCAGCTTGAATAAAATCCAAAATAAGGCTGCACACAAGTCGCAAAATAATATATACTGAAATTTAATTAGATTATTTATGTGTACATTTGTGTGTTAACTACCATATCTATCCTGTGTTCCTCCACATATAATCCAGCTGATTATATGTGTCAAGCATCACGAATTAAGGGTATATTGTCTTCATCATAAGAAATATAAATAATTCCTTTTGAAATCCTTGGTGTGCTATTAGATCATTTGCTGAAAAATTCCTGTTATTTCTTTTTGTCTCTTCTATGTATCATTTTGTCAGCAGTAGTTCAGAAAAATATGTCAAAATTGTTATGACAAAACTCACAATTTGTATGAAGATTTGTAGGGAAAGATGTTAGGAGGAAAATAGAATTTTCCATGTTTTTCATCAAGGAATATTTACATCTCTGTATCTTGATTAGGTGCTGCTTTGTCTCTGAAATGTCAGGCCCGCCTTGGGATTAAGAAACAGCCACTGGCTGCTGTCAGATGGGATGTGGATAACATCCCAGTGGAAAGCCTTGTTTTTTCAAGATTTCATGAAGAAACTCATTTGTAAGTCTACATAAAACAGAATAATCTTTCTTCAACACAAACTGTGACTAGCCATTGAAACCAATGGTACTATCTCTTTCTCTTTCTCTTTCTATTAGTTTTAATGATCATGAGCAAGTATACTATGAAGAGACAACTTTGAATATTACTGAAGTAAAAAAGGAGGATCTGCAGTCAAATTTCACATGTATAGCATTGAACACAATGTACAACACAAGAGTCACAGTGACATTACGACTCAAAGTGCAATCTAAGGGTAGGATTTTTTCATTTTGATTCTTTACAATTTGCACTTAGTTTGACATATGCTGGTGAGTTTATTTTATTATTTGTTTCAGATAGTAAAAAAGTTTCAGTTACTAAGAAATGAAACCAGCCTGCTTCTTCCCTGCATGTTCCAGCCAGTTGCAAAATTCTCTTGGCTGAGTCCTTGTCCTTGGCGTTGGGGAGAGAGGGGGACATTATTCAAACAGGGTCAGCAAGAGATGAAATACACAGAGCGTGACTGTATCAGCTCTGTGATAAGAATATCCCGTTTCTAGGATATTTCTCCACTGTGACAAATAAAACTATTGTCTCTAGTGTAAAAGTGTGGCAGAAAATAGGCAAACTTTAAATATAAGGGTTTCAGCTGCTGGTTTGCCAGTTTGCCTTCCTTACTATACTGCATCCACTGTAGTTCCCTTTTTGGACTGAGTGTTGTGAGAATCTCCTCTTCAAAATCACTCTTTATCTTTGAGTGCCACTGTGTTCCCTCTGTGCCACAGAGAGGGGTGAGTAGTGCTTCAAAGGCTATCCCTTGGTTTTGTTTTTAAATTCCTGGTTCTAGTTGTACCTGAAAGAGAAAGGAAATCCAGGGCAGTAAATGGTGGGGACAGAGATAATCCTTAGCTCATATGGGAATTTTATTTTTTAATAGGGATAGCCAAATCCCTAAGCACTGTTGCCAACACATCTTAATCAGATTCCTATGGCAGAAAATGCTATTTTGTCTGTGAGGGCACAAGAAGCAGCTGTGATCAATTGTTTCCCTTTTCATCCCTTCAGACATGCTAAACCACCAAGAATTATGGCATCATAGAATGGTTTGGGTTGGAAGGAACCTTAAAGATCATTTAGTTCCAAACCCCCTGCCCTTGCAGGGACACCTTTCACTAGACTAAGTTGCTCAGAGCTCCATGCAGCCTGGCCTTGAACACAGGGATGGAGCATCCACAGCTTCTCCGGGCAACCTGTTCCAGTGCCTCACCACCCTCATAGGAAAGAATTTCTTCCTAATATATAATTTAAAACTACTCTCTTTTCTCAAGGATTTTGAAAGTAAATGTCAAGACCTTAACAGTTTTCTGTAAGAGAGTGTTGGGAAGAGTAAAATGCAGTGTACTGTGATCACAGGGTGTGCACAGACCCATGTCCCACTGTATCCTTGATTGCTCATGACTTTCTACAGGTTCATGGCTTCAAAGCCTGGACAAGTTTCCTTGCTAGCCTAGACTAGAGGAGATGTAGGTGAATTGTAACAGCAGAATAGCACCCATCAGGAAGATGGCAGGAAATGTTTTGGCTGGATAGGTGAGTTTGAGTGCAGCATCACTCAGGAAGCTGGCAGTACACCAGCTTTGCACTGAAGTACCTGAGTGTGGGAGTGTACTTGCAATGAGAGGGAAGGAAACTGAGTAACAGTTTCTGCTCACTAGTTTATTCACACAAGTCTCTTGTTGGCCCCATATTACAGACTAGATGAAGGAGAACATATAGCATATTCTGTATTCATCCCATGAATCATTGAGTCTAATTTCTGTTAAAGACAAATCTTATTTTGTTTTTTATTCATAGGTCTTCAGTTAATGTTCATGAAAGCTCTTGGCTGTGACACTGCTTTCACTGCTACCTTTTTTGTGTGGATATCTGTGCCCTTGTCCTTGCTGCTGCTGTTGATAAGGTGTCTGCCTCTGCTCCTCAGCACTGTTGGTGTCAGCAATGCTATGTGCAGAAGTGGCTATGCTCTGCTTTAGTTTTCTTCACTCAGTTCTCTCACAGCTCAGCAATATTTATATTAAAGCAATGTCTTTTTTTTCTCTGAATAATAAAAATGCTATAGGATTTGCTTGTGCCTCTCATCTTGTAATAAAGATGTGCACACTCCTTTTTTTTTTCTGTTTGGTTTGTATGTTTGTATTTAACAGGGAAAAAATTCCAAATATATGATTGCTCCTTAGTGTTTCTCACAGCACATCTTGTGTCTGCTAGCTGCTACCCCGTTAATGATTTTTTTTGCACGGTCATTCAAAGCAGAGATAAAGTTCAGCCCAAAGCATCATCTCTGTTCTTCCTCAAAGATGTTTAATGTTAAAGCTAACCTTCTGACTCATGTCTTGTAGACTGATGTGGACAGGAACTCTAGACACAGATCTCTGCTTTCACTGTCTGGAAGCGCATCCACCTTAGATGCCAGAGAAGATAGAAAAAACTGCTGCTCTTCTGGAGTTTGTCTGGAACTCCTTCAAAAGTTGTTTTCTGACATGTTTTCTCTGGCCTTTCCAATATTAGTCCTTGTGAGCTGATAGTTCTGTATTCCCATTGCTCTTGAATATAAATAGAACATGGCTTATGCATGAGGTCAGCTGCTAAATGATGTAGTAAAGTCAAAAGGAACAGCAGGATCTATTCAGCCTTGTTCAGGGGCTTGTGGCACTTGCCCCCACTGTGCTGAATGTTCACTAGTGAATAAAATTAGTGAATGTTCATTAGTTAATTCCAGAGAAATTAGGGGCTAAGCCAGCATTACTGGGAATTGAACCTGCTCTTCCAGGAAGACACCTCTGTGAAGACACATTCCAAACTGCATGGGCACATCGCTTCTTTTCCAGCCTTGATCTAATCAGTGCAAATATAAATAGCATTGTTTAGGTTTGTAATTGCAAAAGTTGATGCTGGAACCTGTTTCTTCTCCATATTTTAGAGACTTAATGCAATGCACCAGTAATTGTAATGTTATGATGAGCATGCTGTCAACAAATGCATCAGTAAGAAACAACATCACACTCTGCTGCTTGGGTCAGCCCCTCCAGGTAGTGAAAGGGGTTTCCTTACTTCGTCTGTGTGTATTGAGCAGGAAAATTGATAAAGTACTAAGATTTGAAGGGGTCAACAAAGATGAAGCTCCTTCATAGGCATCATGTGATACTGTTAAAAATATGGTCGAATTTCACTTTAGAAGGAACTGATTGTTTTCTTGCCCAATCTTATTGAAAGGTGTTTCCTCCTGATCTAGTTCTGGTGAGGTAAGCTTCCTCACAAGCCTAGCATTTCTTTTTCCCTTTAAACTCAAAGAAATAAATGTAAAGAGTGTGAAAATCTTGTTAAATTTGCCTCACAACCTACCAGAAGAAAGGGAAAATGTAAACTCTTCATTTATATACCTTTTCAGCAGAATTTCTCAGGCACACCCTCCACTAGACCAAATCTCTCAGCACCCCATCCAAGTTATTCTGGAACACTTCCAGGGATGGGGCACCCACAGTTTTTCTGGGCAATCTGTTCCACTGTTTTACCGCCTTCAATGTAAAAAATGTTTTCCATAAATCTAGACTTAATCTATCCTTGATAAGTCTTCATCTCTGAGGTAAAGATAGACAGATTCTAGAGCTCTTCCATGAAGGAAATTGGAACTAAAGTGGGTAGTTCCTTTGTATCTCAATTTCTCTTACTCATCATTGCTATTACATGCTCCTTGACCCTCTTGAAAGGAAAAGGCAGGAGAGGACATCATCTGACTAAGCATTGTTTATTTTATTTCTGTGACCAGGATGTGTTCTGTTTTCCTGCTTGTCTAGTGCTATCTTAGTTCTTATCTTGCAGATTTCATTACTTGCACATGCTCTTTGTATCCTATTAGTGCAATCATTCCAGAAGCTTCCATTTGTCCTTTTGTGGATTTTCATGCGTAGGCTTAGATGTCTCACAAAATGGTTGTGTCATTACCAGTTTTTAAAAGTCACAAAGTACTTAAACATAATTGTCAGCTGTGGTTTTTAGCATAAGTAGGTCTGGATTCAACAAAGTGAATATTAATTATATACTGCATAATATGCTTCTAGTTCAGGGGTCTATGTGTTGGCTATGCCAGCTGGGGAAGGAAGAAGCTTTCTCATCTCTGTTTTGAGCTCCTGAAAGCTGTAACAGAAGTAAGGATATGAGGCTAAAGCTTCAGCACACTGGTTACCTTCTCTGTGGCTAACAATATATTCCTCTACTTTGCAGAGGTTCTTCCTAATGTCCTCCTGATCATTGGATCTCTAGTTCTGCTGGGTGCAATAGCACTCTCAGTGATCCTGTACCAGTCCTTCCGGGTGGATATTGTCCTGCTGTATCGGGAGATATTCCAGCCCTACTCAGTCAAGGATGGTAAGTAAGATTTGTGAAAGAAAGTTTAAAAAAAGGAAAATGGCAAATCATAGAGAAAGTAATTTATTTGATAGTTGCTAACCCATGACACCTGAGCCTGATTCTTCTCTTTCTTACACCTTCAGTAAAGAGAAGTAATACATAGCTCTGCAAGTGCTTTACAATCCCTTTTTTCCTGGGTTTTGTAGGACTGAATTACATAAAAGAGAGATTCAGTCCTGGTTTTGTAGGTTTTTATTGAAAGTTTCTGCCATAATTACTGAATGATGTTGAAAACCTGATTTACAGTGCTATTAACTGTACTTGTAATGTGCTTGTAATGTGCTCTCTAATGCAAAGGAACAAACATGATAAAAGCATTACCAATGTGATAAACCAACGTGATAAAAGCATATGAAACCAACTGATAACCAATGTGATAAAAGCATATGTTAGACCAACACAGTTTTCGTAGGCCAAAAAGAAAGATACCAATAGTCTGGAAGACATTTCTGGAGGAATACACCCCACCTAACTTTATTGGCTGCTTTCAGCTCGGGATTCAGACGTCTGCATTTAGATGTATGAAATGAAAGTGCACACATGAAAGTTTCCATCTTAGACATGAAACCTGGAGATCTGTGGTTGGATCCCACTGTCTAACCATGAGCAGTTGGTGCTGTTGGGGCTGCCTTAGGGCTTCAGTGAGACTGAACCCCTCTGCAGGGGGCAGCTGAAGGGCAGGCAGTGCCCAATGACATGATGAAGTACATGTTTTTAAGAGACCAAATCCAGCTAAATGGACAAATTTTAAATCTGAAGCTGACTCTTACCACAGATGTATGCATGGTAGATGTCTACAGCTGATCTAGTTCTCATTAAAGAGGAAAGAAGTATGCTTTTTTGGACAGTTTCCATGGAAGTATATTTTATGATGAAATTAATCAGACTCCGAAAATGGTCATTTCATTATTATTACAGAATAACAGAATCACAGATTCACAGAATCAATGAGGACCTCTGCGATCATCGAGTCCAATCATGACCAAACACCACATTGTCAGCTAGACCATGGCACTCAGTGCCATTTCCAGCCTTTCCTTAAACACCTCCAGGGATGGTGACTCCAACACCAGCCTGGACAGCCCCTTCCTAATGCCTAATTATCCTTTCTATGAAGAAATTCTTCCTAATGTCCAACCTAAGCCTCCCCTGCTCCAGATTAGCACTGTGTCTTCTTGTCCTGTCACTACTTGCCAGGGAGAAGAGGCTGACCCCCACACCTGGCTACAATCTCCTTATGGGTCATTACGGAGAGCAACAGGGTCAAACCTGAGCCTTCTCTTCTCCAGACTAAATAACCCCAGCTCCCTCAGCTGCTTCTCATAGCATCTATTGTTAGAATGGTTTCAGCAAGAACCTCAGCAACAAAAGAAAGGATACAGTAATTTCCACCAGAAAGAAAGAAACATTTGGGATTAGAATAAAAATGCTATAATGGAAAACTTAATTTAGAGAAACGGAGTAAGGAATGAAATAAATACTTGACTTTGTATTTGGTTCTGATTGTAGGACTGTTTCCTAAGAAATAGGATTTTCACTCAAGACTATGATTTGTTATGGGAATGATGAATAAAGTCCTCAAGATGGAAGAATTTAAATGGAATATCTTGTGCTGAGAGACAAAGCCTATTGGTAGCGAATTGTATCACTGAAAAAACAAATACTTCATGGCTATATCATGCTAATATGAATCAATCAGTTGAAGTATTACTGCATATACTTTGGAATGCAGTTTTCACAATACAAGGGCCAGGTTCTCCAAAGCTACAAACACACAGGACAAAACAATTGAGCATGGAAAACACCAAATATGCACGGCCTTTAATTTCCAAACATGCACCAGTTGATATACATTATTCAGATTGGCTGGAACTGCTTCTTAGATCTATTTCAGTGACTGATATTTTTATTTCTCTTCTACTTTTTGCAATAGACAGCTCTAATTGATGTTAACACAGTACTCCTTCCTCTTGTTTTGCCTTACAGATGGGAAGATATATGATGCATACGTTATCTACCCCAAAAACCACACCAGTGAAGCTAATTTTGTGGAATATTTTGTTTACCAAATCATGCCAGATATTCTGGAAAAAAAATGTGGATATACATTGTGTATTTATGGGAGAGATATATATCCTGGAGAAGGTAAGTTTCAGATTGGTAATGCACTGAAGTACTTGTCAAGCTTGAGCAAATTGTGATTCAAGTCCCTTTTAGGTGTGTAGGAGGTCACTCTGCATTCCTGACCTTGAAGCTCATCTCCTCAGCAGCCATCTGTCTGCTCTTTCAGGCCAGGTGTCACAAGGGCACTCTGTGCTTTTAAGTTCTTATCATCTTGGAATGCACAGGAAACATGACCCTGAGTGTGACTCTTTTAAAAATACTCCTGCTCCTTGGAAAATCTAACTCTGTGCAGGCGTTATCTGGGCAAAGCCACAACCAAACCTTGCATGAGCTGGCTTGGCTGACTACAAGACAGGGAACAGGAGAAACCCATAAGCTCAGCCAAACCCACAAACTCAGCTAAGGAAACACCTTTGCTGTTATCACTCTGAAGTTTTCAACCTTTTATGAGGGTGTTAGAATCACAAGTAGTTCAGCTTCTTTTCATGGACATGTTCTATTTTCCCTTCACACAATTCCCAGTATTAGTTCAGGAGAGAATTGGTATGCTTTATTTCTGCTTTCTTGTCTTTCAGGATGAAATAATGTTAATTAATCTGTGCTAATTTCCATATAGACACCCTCCACAATATATGATTGCTGCGACCTAGGTGCTAGCTTCTTCTACCAGAGCTGACTTCTCTGTTTATCTTGTGCCCTGGTTCTTCTGTAGACTGGATCTCCTTTCTCTGTCAGTGAGCAGGCAGGAAGCCTAAGCTGGTGCATTTTCTGTTTCACATTTCTGAAATCATCTGCACTGGGCCAGGTGTCATTCATCTGCCCTGAGCTAAGGCTGAAATCTTTGATGTCCTCCTCTTCTGGAAAGTTGTGAAAGGGCTGCCTGGCCTTGGGAAAAATGAAGGTAAAGAAAAGCTGCAAAAGTTGTTGAGCCAGACCATTCCCAGATCCAGCACAAGGAGCTACAGTAGCTCACAAAACTGTCAAAGGCAAAAACTTACAGCACTTGCAGTGGTCTGGCAGCCCCCAGTAAAGGAAAAGAAGGTATATATGGAGCTGGCTGATGCATCTGCAAAGATGGTTTGTTAAATAATTGGTGCGTTGAACTTCCTCAGGTGGGCTCCCACTCCTTCTCTTTTGGCCCAGCATCACAGTGACAGTAGCACTGATCAGCTCTCCCTAACATGGCAGTGGGAAATTCAAATACCTTCTGTTGTGCTGACACACAGATGCCCTGAAAGTCTGGATTTACCCCTGGAGGGTGAATGCCAACAAAATGCACAGATTAGTGTATAAATTAGCACAATAACTCAGGACAATTCACTGTAATTTAGGCTGACCACACCTGGAAATAAGCCTCTTAGACAAAAGTCACCCAAAAGTCCCCTGATGACCAGTTTTCAAGGATTGCAAGATCATCTCTAAGGCATTAAACTTGGTACAACACAATTCCTTACATGAAGACTGCTGATCAAACACTATTTTGTTACAGTCAGATCTACTGAATTTGATCCTAGATCACTGGAATAGAAATTCCTAACAATACTTAAAAGCAGTGACTATATTAATGTTTCAACTAAAAAACCCATTTGAAATGAAAACTTTTTGGTTTGGGCTTCTTGCTTTTCTCTCCCCCTGCGCAATTGCCTTTGTTTGGTTGTTGTTTTTTTATCTTTTCGAGTGGTTTAGGGAATAAAGTCTTTCTCTAATAAATAAACAAACTGTGTCAGACTGAAGTGAGATAGAAATTATTTCTGGTTACAAAGCAATGGAAATGGAGTTTCCAATCTCAAAGGAATTAAAAAAGGAATATCGGTGTCTCATCATTTTCTCGTACATTGCTAGATGCAGCCAGTGCAATTGAGACGAGGATGCAGAAGAGCAGGAGGCTGATCATGCTGCTGACACACCAGCTGGTTAATTCTAAAGAAGATGCTTATGATCAACACATTGCTCTATACAATGCCCTCATTCAAAATGACACCAAGGTGATCCTCCTGGAAATGGAGACAATTGGGACTTATGGGAAGCTTCAGGAATCTCTTAGGTTTATTATTAAGCAGCAAGGCACCATCAAATGGAAAGAGGAGCACACGGTGCACCCACAGTCACCCAATTCCAAGTTCTGGAAACAGGTGAGGTACCACATGCCACTGGCACGCAGGCCCTCACACTTGGCTGGCACCAGGTGAACAGTCTTGGAGAACAGAGCTGTACCATCAGGATGGGCTACAAACCCACAGCTGTTTTTCCTTTCAGAAGGTACATGACTGTACAGTCTGCAAGTCTGGCTGTGTTTTTTGAACTTTTTTTCCGTCCTTCTACTGAGTGACGATGGGGTAATTGATGGAAGAGGTCTAGGAAACTGAGGGGATATTTTACAGGTATGAGAGGTCTAAATAAATAATTCTAGATTTTGTGGAGAATTTTGCATGTCACAGAAAACCAAATGTACCTATACTCTTTCTATATATAGTTGTATATATAACAGAAAGTTATGATTGTGAATAACTGAATGCCTTCCAGGTTTACTTCATCTTTCTAATGCAGTTGATAAATGCCTTCTGTATTATTTGATCACAAAGTATACTGTGTATTTTGCAATTAGAAAGTATAATGTTATGCTTTTGTTAACTTTTATTTTCTGACACTTACTCGTTTTTGATTCAATAGTGATACTCACAAGATGAAATTTTATTTTTCCTTAGTATGGATGCCTCACTAAAGGGTCTTTTGAGACTGATGTGAATACAGTGTTAAGGGAAAGAAATGCACTGATATATACACATATCTGTATATAAATATATTACATGCTTTGGTAAGGGAAATGAATGCACTGATACATATAAGTGCATATTTTATATGCACTTTAAAATATTTTATATTTCTATTAAAATGAATCTCACATAAATGGGAAATTTAAGTCTTTCTGGTACAATTATCATGCTGATATTATAATTATTATCTCCAGATAGAAATAACATGTTAAAATTTAGGATGTTCTTTTGATACACTGAGAGCATTCCTTTAAGCTACTGAAAAAAAATAGACTGTTTTTTTATAACAAGAATTACACACTTTTTTCCATGCTTTGGCCTCGTGTAGTTATACATTCTTATATTTCTGATAGGAAATCAGATGTAGTGTAGTTATACTCATGTGTAGTTATACTTTCTTATTTCTGATAGGAAATAACCTTAAATGCAAAGGTCAGAGCCAAATCTCCTAGTTCAGGGGAACAGGAACAAGATGTATCCTAGTACAGGTATCCCTGCAAATTTTAATCTTTTTTTATTTTTAAGCTCAGGAAATTCTTACTGTCAGAGAAGGCTTAGTTTTCAGCTTTAAACTTGCTATAGAACAGATTTAAAAAGTGAAAATTAGATGCAAAACACTCATTGCTACCAAGTCCAAGTCCAGTTTTTCACTAATGAGTTGTATTTTCAAGAGTTCATTCACTCATTGCTCACTTCACCGCAACTATAAAGCATCAAATGTTGCATTTCGTAATTACCTCATTAGACTGTGTGCAGTGCTGGGTCCTGTTCCTAAAGATACCTCTGGATAAACCTTACTGTCTCTATGGAGGCCCCACAAGATGGATTCATGCCAGTGTGAGACTTGGTTTGTTCCTACAGTACCATTTCTTCCCACAGAGAGCATACCAACACTAAGGTATGCTATGTAAAAACAGGAAAGCCTGTTGCTATAAACTATGAAGATTTTTACACATAAGTGACTTAGCAAGACAGAATATTCACTTCCAAGATTATCATGGGATAAGTTTTTAATACAGTTTGAGTCCTGGGCTTGTAATGAACAAGAAAGGACAATAAGCAGACATCTTTGAAGTGAAAAGTCTAGGATGACTTTTGAAGCTGGAAAGAGATGTGGAGCAAGTAGAATGAGGAATTGCACAGGATGAGAAATGAACCAAATTACTCTGAAATATACTGACATGTCATTGACTTCTGTTAGCCAGGCAGGTAGTTATGGTGGTGAAAAACAAACTCACTACATTGCTCTTGTGCTGATGCTACATTTTTTCAAGTTTCATGGTCAGTGCAGAAAAAAAAAAAAAGAGAAAAATAATTCTTATAGTGGTTTGCCAGCAGTGAAGAAAAGGAGCAAATTCAGAGTGTGGCAAAGAACATTCACAGTACCAGGGCATGAGTATGTGACCATAATTATGACTAAAAATACTGCAGTTGTCACAGGTTTTTTTTTTATTCCTTAGTGTTAGGTAAAGAAAAATGAGATATGCATTAAAATGGGTATATTCTGCAGATGTTATCATATTTGTAATGTTAGAGAGAAAGCACAAAAAGAACTGTGGAATACTTTTACATCATCATTAAAATATCAGCACTACTGAGGGCACATCAGGAATCCTGCGTTTCGTTCTGGGCTCCTCAGCAGGAGAGAGACAGGGACATTGTGGAGTGAGCACAGCAAAGGGCCATGGGGTTGGTGAAAAGGATTGGAGCATCTTTCCTATGAAGAGAGAGCTGGGGCTCTTCAGCCTGGTGAGGTCCCTCACCTGAAGGGAAGGTACAAAGAAGAGGGAGTCAGGCCCAGTGACAGGACCAGAGGCAATGGGTGAAAACCTAAAAACAGGAGGTTCCCTCTGAACATCAGAAAGGTTTGTAAGGTTTGTTTTTTTGGGGTTTTTTTATGGTGAGAGTGACCCAGCACTGGTACAAGTTACCAAAGGAAGTTGTGAGTCTCCAACCTTGGAGATACTAAAAAATCTCCAGGACTTGATTTTGGGCAATCTTAAGCATGGGGGTTGACTAGATAACTTCCAGAGGTGTCTTACATCCTCAATCATTCTATGATATGCAGCTTAAAAACAACCTAGATTTTCAAAAACTGTTTTTTGATTAAAATTGGCTTTTTGTACACTAAGAAGTCTGCCTTCATGGAATAACAGAATGACAGTCTGCCCTGTCCCCCCCACCCCCCCCCCCCCAAAAAAAAAAGAAGTGTTCTTTCAACATAGGAATAAATAAACATAGAAATAATAACAAAGGAATAAACATAGAAAGCTTATAGAAGATTCAGTTTGGATGCCTTAAGCTTAGATTAAACAGCACCAAGGCAATTTAGTTGCTGAATTATATTGTCCACAAAGAGTTTTAATGTTCTTTGGTTTCTACCCTGCACTTCTGTGGTTTTGGCACCTCAAGGGACTCTGGAGAGCAGATTTACTTTCACTTCTTAATAGAGCAGAGTCATCCTGCCCTCTCGTGGGTGAACAGGCACCCAGAGATTCTGACCAGCTGGAAATCCAATAGGGTTGACATTTGATGTTCCTGCAGCTCACATGGTTGTGAAGCCCAAGAGACTTACCACTTAAAGGAAGGTTTTAGAAGTTTTCAAGAGTTTTCTTAGCAAGCCATTATTTGTTATGCAATATTAATAGACCATTGGACAAAACCTGTTTGGAAGATGATGTGTAAAATTGATAGTATATTAAATTGAATGTACAACTGTATGTTCCTTACTCTTTAAAGGGTTGAAAAACTACAGCTGTTTTAGACACAAATCATGCATATCCAGATGTGTTTCAGACCTTGGGAAGACACTGGATACTGTATATCTTGTAGTGAGCAAGGTCTTTGACACAATCTCTGCTAGACAGACAGATCCACAAAAGTGATCAGAAAAACAGTGGGACCTGTGGGACCTGGGACTAACAGGTTGTGACCAGCATACAAACCAGCTCACAGCTAATCACTAGAGGTGTCCCTCAGAGAGAGATATCAGCACCAGGAATGTTTAGCATCCTTATTGATTACCTTGACAATGGGACAGAATGCACAACCAATGAATTTTCAGACAGAAAATCAAACTGGGGAGGGATAGCTGACCCACTGGAGCACAGGGCTGCTCTTTTAGACAGCAACAGGCTGAAGAAATGGACTGATGGGAAACCCACAAAGTTCAACCCAAGGCATGTGCAAAGTGCTGAGATGGAACAAACCCATTCAGCAATGCAGCCTGGAAGTCAACCTAATGCAAATTAGCTTTGCAGAAATAGACTGGATGTGCTGGTTGACATTAAAGTGAACACAATTCAGCAGTGTGACCTTGTGACCAAGGTGACCAACAGCAGTCTGCACCTTACTATTGAAAATGTAGTTGTGGAAAGCGATTATTCCCCTGAATGCAGCATTTGTGGGATCATCTCTAGGGCACTATGTCAAGGCTTGGGCTCCTCAGCACAAGTGAGTAGGTACTGACATATTGAAGTCCAGGGGAAGATCACCAAGGGCACAGATCATACAGGGAGAGGACAAGTGTCCCTGTTTCTACCCACAATAATCTAATGAAAAGGCAGAGAGAGAATGGATGGATCCAGACTCTTCTCAAATGAGCCCAGAAATGGGACAAAAAAAAGTAACTGTGACTAATTAGAACATGGGAAATTTATATTACATATTAGAAAAAAAATTCCACCATATGCATGTTCCAAAGCTGGAACGTGTGCCCAGAGAAGCTGTGGAATCCCCATCCTTGTAAGTGTTCAGGTCTTGTTTTTGTGCACCCTGAAGAGGGGCTGGACCTGAGGACTCCCAGAGGTCCCTTCAAACCTGAATTATCCTGTGATGCTGTGATGTGGAGGAACATTTGAAAGTGTCCAACATCTGTATTTTAAAATTTCTGAGAAACATATGAGGCTCTAACAGACACATTATCAGTTCATAACCTGCTTTTTTGACATCAGGGGAAGATAATGCTAAAACTATTGAACATGACTTAACGTATGCTAAGAATCAATATAACTTGTATATAGAGATAATAGATGAAGTTTAGAAAGGACTATTGCCACCTAAGAGCAAACAAGTTTAAACTGTGGTTACAAGAGTTGGATATGTTGCAATTTATGATGGAAATAATTTCAGTTTTTTCAGTTAGCACCTCTATATAGCTTATGTTGGATGGAAAGGAAGATGTGAAAAACTGTGAAATAACTGGTCTTCTCTAACTGATTCTCAACTGGTCAGGTCATCAGAGCTTCATTCAAAAATCTGTTTTCCAATCTTAGTGCAAACTTTTGTGTTCATCACGACATTTTCAAAATTAACATCTAAGATGTAGCTATTTTTAGTCAAGTTACATATCTATTATCACACTATGACTTCTCCATTAAAATTGTATTAGTCAGAGAACTAAGAAGTGTAAAGTTTACTCTCCTTTCACTTATGTTCATGTATGACTATGACATTAGTTGAAAGGACCAATTGAACACAGCATTTTCTGCAATGCAGATTAAATCTCGAAACTTGAGAGTATTTCAAAAGAATATGAAAGCAAATAAATGTGAGAGAAGCTCATGGAAAATATTGCTGTAAAAGACTGAGTCAAAAAAAGAAGTTTCCAAACTGTAACTATGAAGACAGTCTGTGAAAGTAAAAAGCTGATGACATTTTACTTTACCATTTTTTTGCTGGCTGCTAAATAGTTTCCAGACTGTCAAATAAAATCATTATCATCTTCATGATATCTGCTTTCTTTTAGGTTTTGCAATCAGGTACTAAGTCATAAACCCAAAAGCACTGCAAAGTATCTTCTACACATTTTAAAAGCAGTTATATTTAGTTAGATCCTTAGCTTACTTTCCTGGAGTTGTGCTG